TCCGGAGAGTTCTTCAGATTTCAGAGACTTTCCAAGTGGCCCATTATCCCTCAAACAGCCAAGCACCATTTCTAAATAGGATAATTAATGCTGTTCCCTTCTCTGAGATCCTGACTAACTTGTCTAAGTACGTGATGGAAAAACTCACACCAAAAGACATGGGTCTTAACAAAGAAGTCTGTGACTTAAGAAAATAATTCAGGGTTGGCATTGTGATTCAGTGGGTTAAGCTGCCATTTGTGACTCAGGTAGCTTACATGGGCACAGGTTCAAAACCCAGCTGCAGGCTGGTATGGTAGCCTAGTGGCTAAAGTCCTCACCTTGCACTTACTGGGATCCCATATGCTGGTTCATGTCCCAGCTGCCCTATCTCCCATCCAGCTCCATGCTTGTGGCCTGGGAAAGCATTTGAGGAGGGCCCAAAGCCTTGGGACCCTGCACTCACATGGGAGACCTGGAAGAAACTTCTGGCTCCTGGCTTCAGATCAGCTCAGTTCTGGATGCTCACTTGGGGAGTGAATCATTGGATGTAAGAACTTCCTTTTTGTCTCTCCTCTCTGTATATCTGCCTTTACAATTAAAAAAAATCTATATATGTATTAGCAAAAAAAGACCCAGTTGCTCCACCTGGGATCAGCGCTATGCCAGCTACCTAAGAAAGCGGCAGAAAACGGCCCAAATAGTTGGGTCCTGCCATCCAGGTGGGAGATCAAGATGGGGTCTTGGGATCCTGGCTTGGCCTGGCCCAGTTGTTGCTACCACTTGGAGAACGACCAGTGGATGGAAAATTAGTTTCTGTCCCTGCCTTCCTCCTCCCCTGCCCCAACCCTGCAATTTTCGTTTTAAAACAAGCAGTGAGTCTTTACAAAAGTGATGCTCAGAATTGCCATTTGTTTGCTTTCTGATCTATTTGTTTCATTGTAAATCACCATGCTTAGTAACACTAATGGTTCATGTGAATGGGTGGCACACAGAACAGCATTAGGGGCACCTGAACCACAGCACAGATGTGGAGTGGGAGAATGGGTCTCCACCTCATAGGTCCCAAGCATCTGCCATGTGCCAGCCATGGCCAAGCACTGGATGCTGGCTCTCACCTGAGGGGGTCTGTGTGCCATCAAGATTTACAATGAAGGAATGAAGGAAGACTGGCACTGCTCAGACGAGTGCCTCAATGGGGCTGGACAGGAGTGCCCGGCCAAACGCTCTTACAGCAGTGATGGCCCTCCCTGGAGATATGCCCGTGTGCCCATTTTGGGCTGTGTCTCCTTCACAGGAACTCTCAAATTTTCATTTGCTCATGACCATTGCATGCAGAAGATATTATCTCGCTTGTGTAATAAAGGTGCTATTTATTAAGCATTTAAGGATGCCAATTGCACAAAACATACAAGCATGCAGTAACGATGTTTAATATAATGGGTTACACGTAAAAGAACAGATCAACAGGCTTCTTGGAAGGCTTGGTGCTTGTGAGAGCCAGAATGGGTGTAGGATAGACCAGGGTGGGCTGTAGCATATGCCAGGTAACAAAAGAACTGGGTCTGAGAGTGGGCCAAGCTAGATTGGTTATAGCACCTATTGGTGAGAGCCAGAATGGGTGTGGGCCCATTGGGTTAGGCCACAGTACCCATGGGTGAGTGCTTGGACTTGGGGCTAGCCATGTCAGTCAGGGCAGCAGCTCCTGCCAGTATATGTGATTCAGGGCTGGGAGTAGACCAAGTAGGGAAATTTGGGAAATGACCCTGCTAAGCATAGCTTCCACGGTTGAGAACAAGAGCTGGGCAGGGAGCAGGCCAGATCAGGCTTGGCTGTAGCATCCTGTGGCACATGTGTGAGCTGGGTCTGGGGGTGGGCCAGGCAGGATCAATCCATAGCACATACTGGCACGAGTGACAGCCAGAAAATGGTTCAGGCCACGCTGGGTTGAACTGTAATACCTGCCAGTTGACATGAGGATTAGGAGTGGGTGGGGCGGGGCTAGGCTGCTGTATCCACCAACAAGAGCCAGGATCGGAGCTGGCCCAGGTTGAGCCAGGCTGTAGCAGTTGCTCGCAATTGCAAAGCCTGGGGGTGGGCCATCTCAGACTGAGCCACAGCACTTGGCACATCCAAGACCTGGGGCTGGGAGCAAGCCTTGTAGAACTTCAGATGTTTGTTCTTGCTCAGATGTTTTTTCTGCTGTTGAGTATGGGAGTTGGGACTGGGGGTGGGTCAGACTGGGGTAGGCTGCTGCACCCACTGCTATGCACAAGAGCCAGAATGGCTGTGGGCCAGACAAGTGAGGCCGCAACACCAGACCAGCAGGCCAGTGTCAGGACTAGGCATGAGTCATGTCAGGCTGGACTGCAGTACCTCCTGGCAGGTGCAAGACACTGGACTGGGAACATGCCTGGCAGGGGAACTGTGGGTACACTCCTGCTAGGGTCTCTGTGTTGCTGGTGAACACAAGAACCATGGCAGGGGTGGGCCAGGCTGGACAAGGTAACAGCACCTGCCAGCATACACGGGGATCAGGTCTGTGCACGGGTGAGGCTGAGCTAAGATGTAGTACCTGTGGGTATGCATGAGCACCAGATGGGGTGTGGGCTGGACCAGGCCAGGCTGCAGCAGAGGCTGGCACGTACAAAAACCAGGGTTAGGAGTGGGCTTGGTGGGGGTTATTATGGTCACCCCAAGCAGGTCGTGGCACCTGCTGGTATGTGTGTAGACGGGATCTGTGGCGGGCTGGCTGGGCTGCAGCACCCATTGGTGCATGTGAAATATGGGGCTGAAATGGAGCATGCAGGGAGCAAGTTACTTCCTTCCCTGGCTCTGGAGTTTCCTGAGATGACACCACTGGAGACAGTGGGGACCACTGACATGTTCATTACTGAAGACACTAATGAACCCTGGATTCCAGTGGAAGACACAGCAAGGAGACACAGCCCCTGCTTCTCTGCAGGGCCGTGAGGAGGCCTGTCTGCAGTCTCTTCTCCCTTGCACTGCTGGAGGACATGGCAGCGACTACCTGCAGGTCGACTAATGTCAGCAATGTCACGAATGGCAGAGTTCTCAGGGCCAGTTGGCACAGCTCCCACAATTCAGGATCTTAATTTTAGTATGTGGCTCATCAGCTGTCATAAAGGAGCATATGTAAGCTAAGGACAGGAGGCTGGAAGACTGGCATCTGGTGCCAGCCTGCATCTGCATTCATCAGTATGTACATTGGCTGGTTTGGGTGACAGATTGAACCTGACTGGCTGGCACACACAAAAGTCTGAGGTCATCCCAGACGAGGTTTCTTTTTTAAAGATTTAAAAATTTTTTTTATTGGAAAGTCAGATATACAGAGAGGAGGGGAGACAGAGAGGAAGATCTTCCATCCCCCAAGAGGCCCCAATGACTGGAGCTGCACTGCTGATCTGAAGTCAGGAGCCAGAAGCCTCTTCCAGGTCTCCCATGTGGGTTGCAGGGTCCCAAGGCTTTGGGCCGTCCTTGACAGCTTTCCCAGGGCACAAGCAGGGAGCTGGATGGGAAGCGGGGCAGCTGAAATTAGAACCGGCGCCCAAATGGTATCCCAGTGTGTGCAAGGTTGTGCAAGGCTGTGCAAGGCGAGGACTTATAGGCTATGGCGCCAGGCCCCCAGGCGAGGTTTCTTATGGGACTCCTTAACTCAGAACCCTGGCCAGAGGCAAAAGTCACAAGATGTGTGGTCTGACCTTGGAGTGCACACACTGGGAATGGGCCTCCTCAGTTGCTGATGCCTGTGCAGTGGACAGCATGCCCAGATACACACAGGGAACATACTAGCCAGCTCATCTAGGCCAGCAGGGAATGTCAACTCCCTTGTCAGAGGATGAAAAGCAGAACAGGTTGGACAATTCCCCTGGCCAAGCTTTACAGCGTGTTCCTGGGACTCTGGATGCACTAACGTAGACTTTGTCAACTGACAGACCTTGGAAAGATGTTCTCAACTCTGGAGAAATGAAGCAACAATGTCTTGGGGCTATCCAAAGCACTCCAGTCACACTCGTGGAACAGTCTCCCACCTCGTGGTCTCTGGGGCATCAGCAAAGGACCGTTGACCCCCATCCCCAGCTGCTGATGTAGTTGACAGCAAGAGCGACCCCCTCTCAACTATGAGAACAAGAGTAAAAATAAACCAAAAAAAAAAAAAACCCAAAGGATTCCACGTGCATAAAGCAGATGAGCATATGATAATCACACTTGAACATAATGGGTTACACAAAATGGCCAGATCAACAGGCTTTTTGAAAAGCCTGGACACAAAGTGAGCAGGTTGTCCAGGAGGATTGCTGGCAGCTGCACCTCTCAGTTCCAGGTCGTCCCTGACCAGTTAACTTCTGGCCAGTTTCTTACCAGTGCATATCAGGGGTATTGCGCCCCACAGTGAATGTAAACACTGAGCTTGAGGTGTGCGGTTGGGACAAGACTGTGGACCTTGGGAGGGGGATCTGCCCTGCACGCGGACTGCATACAGCTCACAAGGTGTGAGAAGGGACAGAGACAGGCAGCCACATGCTCACCCCCACATCCTCGGAAGAGCGCACCCAAAGGGCTAAAGATGCTACAGATGTACCTGGGCGCAAGCTTGAGACGGAGGCACCATCCAACTCCCCCAGGCCCTCAAAGCAGGGAAGGGAAGGAAGGGGGAACAGATAGCAGAAGGATGGGGTATACCCGTGGCTTGGAGGAAATAAACGAACCCATCAGGACCAGCTAATCAGCACAAAGCAACCAAAGTAAGCCCACAGGCAGCAGCCAAACTGCCGGGCACTGCCCTCTAGGCACACCCACTGACCGCCCTGCTTTCAGGCAATGTGGTCACACTGTGGAGCCACACCAGCATGGAGACCCCCAGCGTGGCCTCTCAGCCAATCCGTGATCATGCAAGCAGCCCTGAGAGGCTCAGGGGTCATTCTCCTCGGCAGTCTACGCAACAGTCTTCTGGGACTCAGACGAAATCTCCACCAAGGTAGAAAGAAGGGCAGCTTCAGACTGTTCAAATTCCAGCTTTATTAAAATCATTTGGCTCTTCTGAAAGTAGTACAAAGTCTTTGAGTGTGATCATGGGATCTAAGAAACAAGTTCACACTTCTGGTTTTGTTGTGAGTTTGGGATTCATCCACTGCCCTTCTTTTAGTAACAAACGGCTGTGTGCCTGTCCCCCATAGGAAAGGAATTTGCAAAATAAGATTCAAAAAATAAAACCCACAGGTTCAAAACTATCTCTTCAAATACTGAGAAATCCCAAGTTCATCAGCCTTTGGTCCTCCGACTAACAAGGCAGGCATTTGATGCCTGCGGGCTCTGTGTTTAGTTATTGCTAATTACGATTCGGAGGACTAAAATGTTTCAAAAAACTAAAAAAAAAAAAAAAAAAAAACAACTCACAAACTCTCATTGAAACTCCCAGTTTAGTTTCAATGGACTCAGAAAGAACAGGGAGAGTGTTTGATTTGGCCTTTTAAATCACAAGACTGCGTTTTTCTTTCTTCAGGGAGAAATGTCCTTTGCAGGATCTTAGACATAGCTAACGGCATCTGCTTTGCGGAAGACCCAAGTGGGAGGCTTTCCCGCTGGGCACATCTTCGTGGGAGCTCACAGCACAGAGTGGGCAGGGGAGCAGGGCTTGTGCTGCTCCTTAGTTGTTCTCCAGCGAACCTGAGGTCATCTGCAAGAGGAAGAGAAGCGGTGTGAGCCCCTTCCGGTCACCTCGGAGGGGCCGCCCTGCCTGGCTCTCTGGACGTGAGCCCCTTCTGGTCACCTCGGAGGGTCCGCCCTGCCTGGCCCCCAGGACTCAAAGCGGAGTTAGGGAGGAGGCCAGGTCCCTACTTCTCCCCAGAGTCACGGGGAGGCCTGCTGGTGGTCTTGCTCCCTCGCACTCCTGGAGGACACTGCAGGCCTATCAATGTTAGCAAGGTCAAGAATGCCAACTAGGGCAGACTGTGTCGGGGCTGGGGCTGGATGCCTTGTATTTTGGTGGAAAGGCCTGCTCCTCTGGAGGGAATGCTCCAGAACTCATTTATCTGTACTTGAAGTAGCACTGCCACCCACAGAAAATGCAGGCAGGACCACCAGCACCCATAGGTGGGATGGCACCTCGTGCTGCCGAGGTTAACCACTGAACCCTGCACCCTGTACCGTGCTGGCAGATTGGACCCGTGAGCTGCCAATCATAGCGGCAGGGGCTGGACCAAACGCTGCTGACGATCCTCTCAACCTCAAATAAAAATGCTTTCCTTAGCAATGAGCATAGCAATGAGCATAGCTTCTTAAAGAACACTTCTTGGCATTGATGAAATGGCTTTCTTTATAAATCACAAATAGTCTCCAAACCTTAAGGAATATTTAAGATCTACGGAGCATTTCACCCAGGTTATGGCTTGCCTCATTTTCCAAGAACAACTGAACCTTTAGATGTCCTAACAACACTTAGGCCAACAAGAGCAACGCATACAGCGTCACGCATGGAGAGAGAAACGGTACTTACAAATGGAGTCTTGATTCCAAACTTGCTATGGAATGTCATGGTGACCTTGTTCTTGTGTCCTGTTCTTTGGTCAAAGGCGTGGCACGTATCGAAGGGCGGGCTGTACAGGTGCAGGCTCACGGCAGGCTCCGTGTGGCTCACGTTCTCCACCCGGTGCAAGCCAATGGAATCTGGAAAGGACCAGGAGGGAAAGAACAGAAGGGGATGGGATGGCAGCTGTGGGCAAAAGACTCCATCACTGAGTGCAGCAAATCAGTGTCTATGCACAGAGAAGTGGCAGAAATGACAACTCCACTCCCAGGGAGACAGCACGCAGCATGCAGATCTCAGCTTCTGCCAGGAGACCCTCCCCTACTGTGGCAAGGTAGATATGAACACACAGGCAAAAGATGGAGGAGAAGAGAGAATTAATTTTAAGAGATGGAAAGCTTGAAGGCTTTGCAGCAGCAAGCAAGCCAAATCCTGAGCTACCACAGGAAGCCCAGCCACAGCCTGATCCCTAGTTTGACCTCCTCAACAGCTCAGGAATTGGGAGCTTGGGAGCGCCAGGTGCTTCCAAAAATGATGGTGAAATGGAACTTTTCAATAAGTTTATGTAGGAACTAGTTGGAAACCACTTAAGAACTCTGTTTCACTCATTTTCTTTCACCTGTCTCCTCCATAGCCAGGGTGAGAGGAGGGAGCTGCTTGCAGGAAAGAGAAGAGTCAAACACTGCAGAACCCAGCCAAAGCTAACTGGTGGCTGGGACTGGTCCCTGCTATCCAGCACTGGTTCGAGTCTCCTCTCCAGGCACAGTGAGAAGCAGTACACAGAGGTGAGCAGATCTGTTCCAAAGAAAGCCCTTAGGACACTCCCACCCAGAGATGGCCAAACACTGACGTCCAGTGACAAGCCCCACCTCCTGCCCAGAGCTACCAATTAACTTGTTCTGTCCCTGGCTTTTAAACATTAGCCCATAGCCAAGGCTGCCAGACACTTGAGGAACGTTCCAGCACAAAGAAGGCCAGAACCATGAGAGAGAGAGAGAGAGGGAGAGAGAGAGAACAGAAGAAAGAAGAGAGAAGAGAGGGAACTCAAAACACACAGGGTTAATGTCCTCAGGAAGATGGAAGAAAAACACCACAAAAGGAATTGAAAAGAAAAAAACTTTTGGAAAGGAAAACCTAGAGGCTAGCATTGTGGCATAGGAGGTGAAGCCACTATGAGATATCAGCAGGTTAGAGTCCAGATTTTCTTAAGATTTATTTTTATTAGAAAAAGACACATTTACAGAGAGAAGAAGGCATAGAAAGATATTCCATCCACTGGTTCACTCCCCTAGTGGCTACAATGGCTGGAGCTGAGCCAATCCGAAGACAGGAGTCAGGAGCTTCTTCTGGGTCTCCTACACGGACACAGGGTCCAAGGCTTTGGGCCTCCTCCACTGCTTTCCAGGCCACAGGCAGGGAGCTGGATGGGAAGTGGAGCATCTGGACTCAAACTGGCTCCCATGGGGGACCCTGGTGCATGCAAGGGAAGGATTTAGTCATTAGGCTATTGTGCAGGGCCTCCGGAGGCTCCACTTCCGCCCAGCTCCCTGAAAATCACTTGGGAATGCAGTGGAGGGTGGACCAAGTCCCTGGGTCTCTGCACCCACATGGGAAACTGGGAGAAGTTCCTGGTTCCTAACTTTGAATCTGCTTAGGGCTGGTTACTGCAGTCATGTGTGTGTGGCAGAGGGAGGGGTGAATCAGTGGATGGAAGATTTTATTTCCCTTTCTTTCTCTGTAACCTTGCCTTTCAAATAAATAAATAAACCTTAAAATAAAAAAAAGAAAACACTTCATAAAAGGGTTGGCAGAAAAAGTTGAAGAGAACTCAGAGAACAAAGGAACAAAGATGGGAAGAGAAGAAAGCAAGCAACAACCAGGTCCAGTCTGGGAGGTCTGACTAACCAGGAGCTTCAGCAACAGAATCTCCCAAATTCTCAGAACCAACAGGAGTTTCTTAAATTGAAGGCCACAGAGTCCAGGGTCAAACATCCCATTTGCTACCCAGCACAAAACCCAACTCGACCAGAACCCTGGGGTCAGATCCCCAATATTCCTGGAGAGAAGAAAGACTAGTTTCATAGCAAGTCAGGCAGCAGGCCGGCACCACTGGCCACCCAGACCCAGGAGCTGCACAGAGTTCACCCACAGGAGGTCTCACACTGGCACCCTCCAGGGAGCCTTTCTCACAGGGGGCGGAGAAGCAGGAGAGAACAGAGGGGTCAGTTGGGACAAGGGAGAAGCCCAAGGCACTGCCCAGAATCAGCCCGCCTGTACCAACACAGAAGGCAAAACACTCCATTTAACACAAACACCCACAGAGAGGGCATTTACAGCGGGGAGTTGCTGTAATTAACATGGGCATCCAAGAACTAGCAGATGGAAGGTGTTACTCTGTCTCTCTTTCTCTCTGTTAATCTGCTTTTCAATAAAAACAATTAAATTAAACACACATTAAGATGCAGGTGCACGAGAGCCTGCCAGGGAGGATGCCTAGTAGTGATGATGTGGGGGCTATGCCTGGCTTGAGGGGCGAGCCAGGTCCCCCATGAACAAATCCCTAACGCAAAATGGATGCCATTCTCATACTCGCCAACTCTTCCATCCTAGAGCTGGTCGCTTTTGGAACAGGCTGCCTTCAAGTACATTTTTTTTTGTTGTCGTTAAACTTTTATTTGAAAGGCAGACAATGTTTTCACGGACCACAGACATCATTTTCACGGACCTCATGTGTTGGTTCACTCCCCAGATACCCACAACAGCGGGGACTTGGCTAGGCTGAAGCCAGGAGCTTCAGTGGAGTCTCACATGTGGATGGCAGGAACCCAGGTCCCTGAGCCCCCACGTGCTGCCTTGCAGAGAGCTAGGTTCAGGCATGGTGCTGGGACTCACACCCAGGCACTCTGACAAAGGGCTCAGGCAGCCTCCTCAGCACACAGCATCCCTCAGCACTCCTTGCCTTTGCACATGTGCTCATCTTCCAGCGCATGCTTAAGACCCTGCAAAACCAAGTCACCTCCTTCAGAGGACACCCGCCATTCATGGACCATCTGCTGCCAATCACATCAACACCATCATGGCTGTGCCACAGCCAGCTTCACCTCCTTTTCCTCTGGCTTCCAGAAGGTCTCTCCTCTGCCACAGTAACACCGAGGTTTTTGGGGTGATACTTGAGGGTGGGGGTTGGATCAGTCAGGTCCAGGCCCCATGGACCTCCTGCATTCTGTATCAAGCATTGTGGTTTCCTGGTCCTGGTCCCTCTGCTGCCCTGCTAGCCAACCTACACAGATGCTCCCAACAACAGCCCTCTGAGCAAAGCCAAGTCTTTACTATGGGATACAGTTAGCAAATCCCACTCAACACTGAGAGGCTAGAGTTCCACATAAAAATCAGAGAAGGAGATCAGGCCAGCCCAGCCACTGCTGCCCCACTCCGTGTGGCTCACAGACATCAGGCCAGCCCGGCCGCTGCTGCCCCACTCCGCGTGGCTCACAGACATCAGGCCAGCCCGGCCGCTGCTGCCCCACTCCGCGTGGCTCACAGACATCAGGCCAGCCCGGCCGCTGCTGCCCCACTCCGCGTGGCTCACAGACATCAGGCCAGCCCGGCCGCTGCTGCCCCACTCCGCGTGGCTCACAGACATCAGGCCAGCCCGGCCGCTGCTGCCCCACTCCGTGTGGCTCACAGACATCAGGCCAGCCCGGCCGCTGCTGCCCCACTCCGCGTGGCTCACAGACGTGCTGTAAACTCTCGGAGCATACCTACAAGATCTAACGTGTGACACAGACTCGGACCGCAGCCGAAGCCAACTATTCTTATCAACATTCCAGGGCACAAACCAACTTTGGATTTCCACCGTCGTCTACACACAGCAACCCTCAGCTGTATGCCACAGCAGAAATCAGCAGCCTTGTGCTAGGGGAGCAGGAGAAAATCCTTCCCCTGTGATCTGACCTTTGTAAAGGAGTTGCAGTCCTAAACTAACGACCTAACACCCTTAGGCCAAGTATCAAGGCCAAGAACGGACTGGAAGATAGGAAGAAAGAACTGGCTTTGACAGAAAAATATATCTCTGGTGCTTTATTCTTATATAAGTCACACAGCACCCTGACCAAGAGATTGGGCCAAAACACCAGATGGCATGGATTCAAATCTCAGGTACATCTGACTCCTGACTGATCCGGACAAGTTGCTCAATCTTCCTAGGTGTTGGCAGGCAGCCTCCTGTGGGCATTTTAATGAGCTTTCTGGAAAGTTACCACCCTGTAAGCAATACAGAAGTTCATCACCGTCTCTCCTGAAAAGCACTTAGCAGTCCTTCGAGCCATTTACAACAAAGAATGAGTTCTTGGTAACAGATCCATACATCACTGCCCCACTGGGTGCTTCCCCTAGTTTGCCTGGAGAACACTCCCACAGGGATGCTGTGTGCCTGTTGGAAAACCAGGGAAGGCTAGGTAGTTAATGGCTTCCAGAACATGCCACCACATTTCTTAAACACCAGGACCAAGATCTGTAACTCGACAGGCAACCCTAACGGGCCTAAATTTTGGCAGGCATGGCCCTGCACGCACAGGTTTTTGATAGTGCTCCCAACCAGAGGCAAAGCTTTAAAACACAAAACCAGCTGCAGTGAGGTCATCTCCCCAAGCACTCTCAGCCCACACCTCAAGATCCAGGACCAGGACGCCACCAGGGTGTCAGAGACCAGGGCCTCACGGTGAAAGGGGAGCAGGTTACCGTTGATGTAGGCACACTGGTTCTCCCTCAAGGTTCTTTCGGACTTCTTGGTCATCTCGTTGGACTTTCGGTCTGGCCAGGCAAAGAGGGTCTCCTTGAGATTTCCCTGCAGCATCTTCAGGAAGCAGTGGGAGTCGGTGTGGTCATGGATGCTGCTACAGGGGCACAGACACAATCGACTCAGGGCGCTGCACAGCTCCCAAATCGCCCCACACCGCCTGGAGTCCAGGGAAAAGGGGCAGAATAACACAGCACCCACACCAGATGCATGCCTCTAACAGAGCTTGTTTGCTCTGTCAACCTGGTCGTAATTGCAATTTGATAGCAACAAACCAGCCACCTTTTCTTTCCGCCCAACTTTCAACAATAAATTACGGGGTTGGGGCCAGAATTTGATTTTGAAAGTACGTCAGAGGAATAGTTCTACAAGGATCCAGAGGATGGTCTAGAACAATGGCCTGGCGAGAGGCTCACCGAGCGGTTAGCGTTTTTCTCTTTGGCTCATTCTTCACCGATGAGGACTGGGTTTAGTGTATGTGGCGTGAGCTCGTGAGGATTTTTGTTAGGATTAGGTCATTATAAAGTGAGATGTGTCTCCACAGGGCTGCCGGCTGGCCCGGCAGTGGCTGTGCTTGGCTTGTTCTGGGCCAGCTGCCCTGAGACACTGCTAGGAGAACCGTGATCTTACCTGCCATGACCCTCACCCCAGCACAGAATCATCAGATTAAATTTTCCATTTCCTTGATCCACAAGATTTCGGGTATATCTAAAAGAAAACAATGTATTCAGAGGTTTAAACTCCAATGCTGAAGCCAGCCCCCAGGAAGAAGAGGTGTCCCCCAAAGCCCTGTCCGCCCACAGATGCTGGACTCCACATCTTAACAGCTCTGAGCAATCTCCTCAGCACACACACACTCTCTTTTTTAGGGTTCGTTCTGCACATTGCTGTATTTGAGTCAGCACATGTGCAGAGGCAGCTGGTCTGCTTTGGTGGGTGGAATGGGAAAGGTAACAAGAGAAATAAAAACACATTCCATGTTTCTCCACCCCGGTCTCCGACTGATAAAAGTCTCTCACAGAAGGTATGTGCGCGTGCACACTGCTCCAGGCAAGAATGTGGCTGCTGCACTCCTGTCCTCCCTGTACCTGGAACCGGGACTGGAGAAACAAGATTTCAGTAAATGGCTACTCTAGAATTGCTCTTTCTAATGAAGCTCAGATGCAAACCAAGTTCAAAAGCACTCTTTCACAAACAGGGTGGGGGCTGGCGGGGACAAAGGAGGTAGGATAGGCTAGCAAGGCGCCCTAAGCCTTTTACAACCAGGAGGAACCAAACACTGGGGAAAAAAAATTAATTCCAAACTACACTGCCAGACGAGGAGACCCAATTTTGCAATCTGTGTGGGTCAGAGGATCCCCCTGCCACCGTTCCAGAAGCAATGTTTGCTAATTCTGATATTTTTTGTTCCTGACTCGGTAACTTTTTACATCCTGGCAAGGAGCTTTCCACATAGGCTTCAAATCCCCGGGGACCTGGGATCCCGCCCCAAGTCCCCACTTCACCTCTCTTGCTCCCCTGAGCTTTGTGGAAGCACTGTGCTGCCTGGCCCAAGTGCAAACATGTTCCATCTTGGTCTTCTGCAATCCTCGCCCTCCCCAGTCCAGGCCAAGAATCCTGCCAGGGCTGGGCATGCATTCTGTGTGAAACCTAGCAGACAGCTCAGAGCCCCTCTGCCCTCGCCTCCTGGAACTGCCCCCTCAGGACCACACCCCACGCCTGAGCGGCAGACAGCGCTGGCAAGTTAAGCCACTTCTCAGGTGGCATTCTGGGTGAGCACTTGTTTGCGTCCCTGGTTTAGATCTAGCTCCCTGCAAAAGCATCTGTGAAAACAGTGGGAGAGGGGCCAGTGATGGCTCCTGCCAGCCAGGTGGGAGATTCTAGTGGAGTCTGACCAAAGCCCAGGTATCATAGTCATTTGTGAACCAAAAAGATAGGACAGCTCCGCCTGTTTTCCCTTGCTCAATAATTCCACCTTTCATGTAATTGCCCAAAAATGTATTTTAAAAAAAGAAAAAAACAAAAAGAGGAGGGGGAAGAACTAATTCAAGGCCTCTGGAAGAGACCTTGATCGAAAAATTAAGGGCTGGTACCACCCAGTCTAGTTAAATGTCTTTATTTAGCGAAGAGAGAGGGTGGAGGGAGAGAGAGAACTCTGACTTGCTGGTTCACTCCCCGAAGGCCTGCGAAGGCCAGGGCTGGGCCCTGCCAGCAGCCAGAAGTCAGCCCCACAGGCAGAAGCCCACCCACCTACGTCCAGCGTCCACCACTCCCCTGTGGGCTGATCCAGCAGGAAGCTGGATCCTGGGTTACATATGAACCCCCGCGAACCCCCGTGCATTCTGTTCCCTGTGGGACTTGAGCCTCCCAACAGGTATGCTAAATGCCCACCCTTAAGTCTAACTTTCTGTGCACACAAATCAAAGTCTTTTAATTCCACTGTTTCCCAGGAGCTTTGTAAAGTCCCTTTGTGTGCAGCAGCGACATTGCTACAGTGTGGCACGTCTGGAGGCCAGGACAGCCTTGCTATTTCCAACTCTGATAGAAGCAGTCTGAGACCAGGCAGTGGGCCTCCTCCATGTCTGCCAGCATCCTACGCCCTCCCAAGGGTGGGATGACGCCCCTCTCTGCGATCCCCGGAGGAGTCCCGGCCCATGCCAAGCCCTCCTCAACCCGCAGAGAAGGCAGGCAAAAAGCAGAACCTGGACGCCATGGCAGCCTCACTCATGAACCCGGTGGAAAGGAGCCCACAGGCTCTCTGACTTGCAGGTAGTCAGAGGAGTCCTAATGGGCCGTACTTTCTCTACTACAGCAAATCCCCAAACCCCGCACACAGCAGCATGCCCAAGAACCCTCAAAAACACCCCACTGGTTACAGAGTTGCAACTCACAGAAAAGCAGTTCCAAGGAAAACAAACCCGATACTTAGCTTTTTTTCCTTCTGTTGTGTCCCTTTCCTGATCAGCTCCTGGGGACACGTGAGACCGCCCACCCTCCAGGATAGCGAGGACTCCCTAGCCCAATTGGGGATCACCCAGCGGTGCCGGGAACGTGCCTGTGGCCAGCACTGGTCACCACAGACTGCAAAAGCCACATTTAACTTGAAACTCTAAAAACCCCATGGCAACGAGAGAATGGTGGGCAGCCAGGGCGCGAGGCCGGTGGGGCAGGGTTTGCATCCACCGCAGGCGCCAGCCGGGCTACAGTTCTGCCTGCGTCCACCGCTTCCCGACACACGGCCGGTCGCGGCCGCTCTGCTCCCCGCCCATCCGCCTCTGGCTGGGCCTGTGAGGCCCGTTAGCGTCGTCCACCTTGCACGCTCGGCTCCCCAGTGCCCCAGGCCCGCGCTGCGCTCACCGGTACTGGTCGAACTTGGCATAGAGCGCCCATTCTGCCGGGTCGCTCTCATAGGCCTCCAGGACGGCCTGCACCTCCTCCACGTTGACCTCGTCGCCAGCGAAGAGCTGGTGCAGGATGCGGATGAGGTCCGTCAGGCTCCGCGGCTTCAGCACCTCGGTCGGCTCCATCTCCTGGGCAGGCCGGCGCACGCCTCTCTCTGCGGCTGCTGGCTGCCGGGCAGGTGCAGGGCCTGGCCGCGGGTTGGGAGCCCACGCGCGCACCGGCACACACAGACACGCCTGTCACCCCTGGCGCGCACACAGCCTCCCTGGCTCCGGGACGAACCTCAAGCAGCTGGGCAAAGACCAACTCCAACGAGTGCGTCCTCCAGGAGCCTTTTTAAGCTCCGGGACTGAACCAACGGCCCTCGGCCAGGGGGAAGGGGAGGTGGAGCGAAGTGGGAGCAGCCCGGGAGAGGCGGCGGAGGCGGGGAGGGCGGGAACCCGCGCGCTCTACATTGCCGAGTGCCCCGCTGTGTCCTTAGGCCTCCAGCCCATCTGTCCGCCCACCAACAGGCACACTCCGTGTTACCTTCCCCCGCAGCGGCCGGGCACCCAGGGCTGGGCAGAGATGAGGGACGGAAGGGACCCCTCCTGGGAAGCGCAAGAATCATGAAGGGTCAGGGACTGCTGAGAGGACCCCTCGGTAGGGCCACAAACCTGGATGAGATACCAACCAACGTTGCATCTCTCCTTCAGGCACTCCAGAGAACCCTGTCAGCCAGTTACCAACTTTGCCATCTCATGCCCGTTAGTCACCCCCTTTCTGTTCTTGCTCCTTTGTCAGTGTGTTGCGCTCTGGCTGGTTTCCAGCTGTCTCTGCGTAAACCCTGCATTCACAGCTTAGTGGACTAGCTACCCCGAAGCAGATCTGATGGTGCTTCCTGGTCAAATTCTATTCCCTTCACAGGGCCTGTCCGCCATTACGTTTCCCATCTTTTGGTTCTAAAACACGGCTCTTTTGACCTTTCACCTTTTACAAGTAGATCAGTTAAGCCAGGCACTACTTCTTGTGCGGACCTGTTCCATACCTAAGGCTGTTGTCTGTTATATTCTAAGCCATTTCAAGGTGGTGGGTGTCTTCTCTGCATAACCCCGGGGCCCGAGTGTCCATCACTCTTCCCAGGACAGGGAAACCCTCTAGGGATGGTCCCACTTGGGGCTTCATGTTGACACCTTATTTGTGCAGCACAGGTGCTCAGGAGATCTTTGGGTTCACACAGGAATGGTGAGGCATATTGGCAACTTATTAGTCACCTTTTAGGTTTTAACTCTTCTGAGTTGCCCAGTGTACCATAACTGAACTGAAACTATAGCTATTGGCATTACCGGTTCTATCACCAAGTAGATCTCAAACATTCAGGGAACAGCTGATGTGTACAAGACGCTGGTATGGGAGTTGGCCTTATGGTGCAGGGGGTCAAACCACTGCCTGCAGCAAAAGCATCCCATATGCGAGCCAGTTCACATGTTGTCAGCTCCATTTCTAATCCAGTTCCTTGCTCATGTGTCTGGGAGTCCCCACACCCACACGGGAGACCCTAGAAATGTCTAACATTGTAACCCTGGTCCTTGAGGCCATTTGTGAACTGAACCAATGGATGGACCATCTCTGCCTTTCAAGTAATGGACAATGGAGCCCAGCACGGGAGCCTAGTGGCTAAATCTTCGCCTCGCACCTCCTGTGATCCAATTTGGGCACCAGCGTCCTGGGAAAGCAGCAAAGGATGGCCCAAAGACTTGGGACCCTCCAGCCAGATGGGAGACCAAAGCTCCTGGCTTTGGATTAGCTCAGCTCTGGTTACTATGGCCACCTGGCAGAGTGAACCAGCAGGTGGAAGATCTTTCTACATATCTCCTTCCCTCTGTATCTCTGTCTTTCCAACAAAAAATAAATCTTAAAAAAAGACAAAGATGTGCCAATATATACACAGGTTTCTGGGCTCTGGCCTGGGTGGCAGAAAGGATGAAAAATGATTGGGATTCTGAAGGTAAAACTGTCAGTCTAATCAACTCAAAGTGTGGATTTGCCATTACCTGGGAGGACCTGGCACCACCCAGTGTGAACAGACAAGTTTTTGCAGCTCTAGGTAATTGGGAACAGATGGTTGGAAGTGCCAGGGAAGCAGGGTTTACTGCAATGTAAAGGAAGACAGCTAACAGAATGAATCATCTGTTTCTACAACTTTAATAACTAATGCTGCTTTCCATGCTTTCTTGGCCACTTTTCCTTTATAGAAACTTGTCATGTTGTAGGCATTTTTTTGTATTACCTCTCATCTGTTCGACCTAGCAGTTTGAGGTAATTTGGGATGCCTGCATTCCCTATTAAGTGTCTTGGGGGAAGAAATGGGATGACATCCCAGACAGGCACCAGTTCTAGTCCCAGCTCATCTAGTTCCCTGCTAACGGTCTGGAAAAGCAGATGGCCCAAGGCCTTACAATCCAGGGCATACATGGGAGGTACTTAAGAAGTTACTGGTTCCCAGCTTTGGACCAGCCCAGCTCTGGCCTAGTGGCCATATGGGGAGTTACAAACTTTCTCTTTCAGTAAAAAGAAACCTTTAAGATTAATTTTTATTGGAAAGGCAGGTTTAGAGAGGAGGCAGAACCATCTCCCATCTTTTGGATCACTCCTCAAGTGGCATCAAGGACCAGAGCAGAGCTGATCCGAAGCCAGGAGCTTCTTGGCAGCTTCTTCCAGGTCTCCTGCACCGGGACAGGATTCCAAGACCGGGCAATTCTCCACCGCTCTTCCAGGCCATAGGCAGGAAGTTGGATGGGAAGCAGAGCAGTTGGGACATGAACTAATGGCCATATGGCATGTTGGTGTTTGGAGGTTAAGGATTAGCCAGTTGATCTCTGAAAATTTTTTTTCCCCCCAAAGTATCTGGATCCAAGTTGTGGCTCTACTCCTGGTTTCAGTCTGCCTCTGATGTACACCGGGAGGCAACAGTCATCTCTCACACAGGAGATCCAGACAGCAAAACAAGACCGCCTTCCCAGTTCCTAGCCTGGCCCAGCCCAGGTGCTGGAGTTAAGTGAAATGGGCAGATGGGTACTCTATATGCTTCTCAAATAAGAACCATATAATGTTCCTTTCCATGTTGCCTCTCCAAGTTGAATCATACTCTGCCAATGTATTTACCATAGCATGTGTACCCAAAGGTACGTATCACACAGTCATAAAGGAGACTACAGGGCTGACGGGCCACCGAATCTCCCAGCAAGTGGCTGGCAGCTGCCAAGTGCCACTTCAATCCTCAGAAAACGCAGCCAGGAACAGGGTGGCTCCTTCCACGTTCCTTTTACACCTAAAGCTTTCTCAACTTTGTGTCACGTGTCACTGACTGTCAAATGTCATACAGTCTGCGCAATATCATACTCTTCTGGCTTTCTCACTTGATCACAGAAAGTGATGTTATTCAAGGTTTAAGTTTAAAACTTCTAGGAAACAGAGATCCTAGGATATATACAGTCTTATTTTGCTTAGAGATAAAATTATTTGTAATTTACCTTGTGCACTAAAAATGGGAACTCATTGTGAGGTCTCTGGTAGACTTTAAGATGAAAGCTTAGGACTTAATGCACACGTATATTTTGCACTGTGGGTCATCCTTTCAATAAGATAAGCATCTCACTGCTGCCAGCAGTTTTTCATCAACATGGAAATTTAAAAATATTACCTGAGTTGACTCCTCTTAGCCCAAGCTCGACTATACTCAATAAGTGTAGTGATGAATTCTTCGCATAAAAACCAATAAACAGTAGCCTGAAAAAAGTGCCAACACTTGCATATTAAGGTTACTAGGGAAGAAAACAAGGCATACACATCTGGCTAATCTTACTTTTAGTAAACTGGCAACTTACTTTAGTGAAAAACAAGGACTGATGTTAAAATTTCAAACTAAGATTTTTGGTTGTTTAAGTAGTAAATATTTTATCATTTGACAACATAAGCAGCAAACAGTACTGAAACTCAATATATGTCTGGTATTTCCTTACATGATTATGCATATAATAAACTCACCCCTTCAGTAAATTAAGTCAACACAAGTAAGGAACACATGTCTGCTATACCTAACCTACCTGACCTGAAAATACATTTTCTTGCTTTCCCTCTGACATCTACAGAAATTTCTTTGATAAGCTTTTAACTGCACACTTCCGCCTGTCAGTATTGTCCCGCTGTTGACCATACTAGAGGCCTGGGTAGCAAAGGAGCCGAGAAGGCACATTCTGGGGCCGATGGGGACTCAACAGCACAGGGATCTGCTACTCAGCATGCCCTCCCACTGTGCAGCAGCCATGCGTGCCCTGGAAGATCTTACCATTCCTACAGACACTGGGAATTCTAGCACATACTTAGATCCTGTTCACATAATCCATTCGATTTATTGGAATGCTTTACAAGAAATACGGCATTACACAAAGAAGGAAAAGGTGAGCTTACTTGAAGCAAGTTATCAGTGTACCAGCATCAGCAAGACGGCAGGAGACATGCCCAAAGCTAAGGTGCAATCACTCCTCCAGAAATGCTGTGCCAGACTTACCTGTGCTCCTGAGGCTCTACAAATGGCAGAGGGACTCAAGAACCATTATAATTCCTATTTCCCAAATATAATAAATTTCAACTTTGAATAGTCCCTAAGAGTTTTCCAGCATGTCAACATGCTTGTTTGCCTAGCAAATGTTAGCTAGAAATGATCAAGACACACCTCCTCTGTTAGATGTGGCAAAGATGTGAAGCCACTTCTCAAGCCACATGTGCCTGTTCGGGCTGCCCTCTACTGGACTATGCAAAGCACTCTGCCGGCCAGTCAGGGTAACACAGTGGACATATATAGCAAATCAGAACTCCCATCCCAACCAAGGGTTCCTGAAGAATGAGTGAAGCAATCCCCTGGAAAATGAGCGTTTACTATGCAAACAGTCCGCAGAACACTTTCCCATGCACAGTTTCAGTCCTTTGAGAGAGGGCATGAGGAACTCTCAGCAGCTAACAGCAGAGGGCCAGGCCAGGCCCTGGTCACGGTCTCTGCATAAACGTTTATCCTGTCATTCTGAGTCTGTTCACTCGATGAATCTTGATGCATAAACGAACGCCACAGCAAATGTGTGAGATCAACTGTTCAGTCTTGCCACAAAGCCCAAGCCTTTCACGTAGGAAGCTGCTTCCTCAGCGCTTCACCCCCACGCCTGGGATTTGCAGTAATGCAGGACCAGCTTGCCATCACTGCCAAAACACTACAAGAAGGAAACAAGGCAAAAGTAAGTCAACAAACAAAGCTCAATTTCTATTAGCTTAGACTAAGAAAAGCCACTTCCTAAGTCTGCACCTCTGCACACGGATGTTACCTGTGGCAGGTGCCTGGTCGTGTCAGGCAGGCACAGTTAGCATAACGAGCAATACGGGGACTTTCCTTGCAGAGTGCATATACTGCTTTTTTTTTTTTTTAAAGATTTATTTTATTTTTATTAGAAAGGCGGATATACAAAGAGGAAGATCTTCCGTCCGATGATTCACTCCCCAAGTGAGCTCAAAGGCCAATGCTATGCCAATCCAAAGCCAGGAGCCTCTTCTGGGTCTCCCACGCAGGTGCAGGGTCCCAAAGCTTTGGACCATCCTCGACTGCTTCCCAGGCCACAGGCAGGGAACTGGATGGGAAGCGGGGCTGCCGGGATTAGAACCGGCGCCCACATGGGATCCCGGGCAGCATGCAAGGCGAGGACCTTAACCACTGCGCCACCACGCCGGGCCCAGAGTGCATATACTGCTGCATTGTAACCCTTCCCTCAACCTCTGAAACTGACGTATATATTTTCAGCTGTTTTCTAGTAGTTGTGTTAATGATGATTACCATCAAGTTTCACATGCCAAATGAAGTTACTATTACATATTTCTCTGGTATTTTGGGAGGCAAACATGGACTTTGAGTTATGACAGCAATGTCGAAGAAACCAGATGGAGAAAAAGGAAATCCTGTCTCTAAGAATTCTAGCAAATACAACTTGGAAGAGTAATTCACTCCTTTAGCCTTCCATGGCATGCAGAGTGGCACGCCAGCTCTTCCGGATGGGACGTGACGTGACATCAGGAGCCGCTCTGCTTGCACACAGTCCCCACGAGACACCCAGGCATCTTTACCTCGTACAGAGTTCCAACTTCCTGGTCTGGCGAAGGAGCGAAGGACTGGTTCACGTAGATAAACTGCAAACAGAAGAAGACCCATTGTGAGGCTGTCCGACCCGGCTGCAGCTCTGGTTCCAGCCAGCTGTTCAAGCTCCCCCAGCTCCTGAATCTGAGGGAGCTTCTTTCTTGGAGAGCAACGCAATTATTTCTACAATCCTTCCCAATATCTTGTAACTTTCAAATTTTTACTTTCAAGTGTTTTTAGGCAGTTATTTAAGAAAGCAACTTACTAAAAAAGGAAAAATTCAACACAACCACTCAAGATGACGAGCACCTTCTTGGGCAGTTGTGTGGCATCCACGATTGTTAGACAATCATGAGGTGGCATTAACCCTCCCTTAAGCCATTACCTTACAGCATTAGAAGACGTGGACACACCGAAACCTAATGTCCTCACAATTTGTGTTTAGGAACACAGTTTTATTTGTAGGAAGCACATTCAATTTCCCTTCTCTATCTTTAAGCAAATCCTGAAATTAAAACATGCAAAGCAGGACTGACCCTGTAGTGGGGAGGGCAGAGCTGCCAACAGGAAGCCCACATCCCACCCTGGAGGGCCTAGCAAGGCCTTCCCCCAGCTTAGAGCCACCAGGCCTGGGCTCAGTTAAGGCTGAGTGAAGTTCTAATATAAATGTTGTGAAAACTAAATTAGCAGCAGAATACACCTCAACCTGACTTCTCGTGAGACGATGTGTGTAGTCACGGGCAGGTCGCCTGTGAGTGGACACAGGGGTTACTCTTTTGCTTCCTTTTCAATAAGAACAGCTTTTCATCGCAACCAGGCAAGCCCCTGTGGTATGGTGGGGAGACAGGCTTAGCACACCTCTCCCCCCTTCCCCCAGCTCGAGGCAGACATCCACAGACAGGTAAGAGCGTGGGTGTGGGACTGCATTAACATGGGCACAGGGCACAGACATGGCACCGTGGAGACCAGCAGACAACTCAGGGAAGGCTTCCCGAGGGGACAACTGCTCCTAACCTGGGAGGAGCGCGCTATCAGGACTCTGCAGGCATAGGAGGAAGCTATACAGCAGATGGCCAGGTCACAGGACCCGGTGCAGCTTTGGAACAGCAATCAGCAACTGAAAGTGACTGCAGTCACTTCTCGCAAGAGAAGGCAGTGTTGGCATAGCTAAGTGTTGCCCACCCTGCCTGAGGGCTTGGCTTGGTAGCCAGCTCCACTACTGGCTAGTGCAAAGCTCAGGAGACTTAGGTCCCTGCACCCACATGGAGGACTCACAAATTCTCAACCCTGGACCTGGGTTGGCCCAAACCTGGCTGTGGCACTGTGGGAGGAACCAGTGGTTCTCTTTGTCCCCCATGCTGCGGCCTGCCCTGTGCTGCACGCCATAAAGCTCTGCACCTATAACATGCCCACCATCCTCATTAACCCCACCAAACTGAAAGCAGCTTTTGTCACTTCCAAAGCAGCTGCAGTTACCCTCGGTGTACACAGAGAATTATTTGGGAGATTTCCAGTGCCACAACCGAGTGGGGCGCTTCTTGGAGAGACTCCTTCAAACAGAGCCCAGGATCCCAGTCCCTACTTCCCACACGTCAGCACAGCCTGTCCGGATGACAGTCAGTGTGGCAGGACTTAGAATCCTTCCCTCCCACCTTCTTTCTGGAGGAGTCCCTAGTTTACTCACCTTGTCCAGTATCGCTGTGCTCATAAGTAAATATACCCCTCCAATCGTACACAAGTTAATTTATATTTAAAAATACTTAGATGTTCTTCAACTAGCTGGCCATTCACCTGCTATCTACGTCCTGTATATCTGTTGCCTGTCTACACAGTTTAACTCTTCCAAAGAACTCCCGTGGGAGGCGGCTCTCTAACACTGACCGGTGGTGGTGCTGTTACTGCTGTCTTGCTTTCCTAAAGAACATTCTATACAATATTCTTGTGATAACAGAACTGCTCAATCATGCTTTTCCTAGAACTTGTCCTCATTGCTACGTGACACATGACAGGACATGGAGACATTTTCGTTTTTGGAGTAAAATAACAAATCAAAAATTAGTGGCAGGGCACACCTTCACCTCCTGCAGGAACACCTGGCTTCCAGTCCCAGATCCACTGCTAATTCTAGCTTCCTGCGCATGTGCGTCCTGGGAGGCAGCGGGGGATGGTGCCAGGACTTGGGAGACCCCACCTGAGTCCCGGCTTCCGGAAAGTCTAGCCTTGTGCAAGCAGGTGGGGTGTGAACCAGCACACAGCGGGCCGTTTCCCAGCCTCCCAAATTCATTAAGTGAAAATGTAATAGAACTGCCACCGCCCAGTGCTTAATGTAAAGTCCAATACAAAATAAGTTAATTTCACAGTTCCTTCATAATATACAGCAAGGAAAGAGGGGAAAGCGATGCTGCAATGCCTCTCTCTAGAGAGCCTTTCAGGGAAGCACATTAACCCTACCACTAACAGCTGAAAAGGCACAGCAACACGAAGGCCTGAGGGCCCCCGCCTGCTGGCTGTTAGCACGCAGCCCTGCTGTTTAGAAACGCACGCAGATGGCCGGAGAACAATGCCTGCGCGTCACGTACCAACTGCTCCGAGGCCATGAGCTTGAGGAACTTTTTGATGAAGTCGATGAGTCCCTGGATGGTTCGTGTTCGCTCCACAGCCCACTTCTTTGTCTTCATAATAGGAGTGTCCCCAACAGCCTTTAGCAAGATGTCAACTGTGAAGGGAAACAGTTTACTGACAATTACACTGCAACATCCAAGGAGAGTATAATAAAAAAGACTTCAGAAAATTTATAAATTTATGTTTTATATATGTGATATCGAAAATTTTAACATTATGTATCATCAACTGCCCCCCTCGTTCCTATAAGCAGCATACTAGTAAAAACACACACAGCAGTTTAGAGCACACCCTGCCCTGAGAACACTTCACTCTGCACCCTTTCTGGAAAGCATGCATGGCAACACACACTCTGCCACGCAAAGATTCACTGAGGGGGCCGGTGCTGTGGCGTAGACTAAGCTTCTGCCTTCAGCGCCAGCATTCCATATAGGCACCTGTTCTAGTCTCGGTGGCTCCACTTCTTTTTAAAAAGATTTATTTATTGGAAAGGCATATATACAGAGAGAAGGAGAGACAGAAAGTCCATCCACTGGTTCGCTCCCCAAGTGGCTGCAACAACCGGAGTTAAGCCCATCCAAAGCCAGGGTCTCCCACGCGAGTGCAGGGGCCAAGGCTTTGGGTCATCCTTTACTGCTTTCCCAGGCCACAAGCAGGGAGCTGGACAGGAAGTGGAGCAGCTGTGGCAGGAACTGACACCTATATGGGATCCTGGCGCATGCAAGGCAGACTTCAGCCACTAGGCTATTGTAAGTGGGAGCCCTGGTGGCTCCACTTCTGATCCAGCTGTTGCTTAAGGCCTGGAAAAGCAGCAAAGCATGGCTCAGCTTCTTGGGCCCCAGCACCCACATGGGAGACATGAAGGAAGCTCCTGGTTCCTGGTTTTGTATCAGCTCAGCTCCACCACTGAGGCCTTCTGGGGAGTAAATCAGTGGATCATCTCTCTTAGTCTCTTTTCTCTAACTCTGACGTTCAAGTAAAATAAGCAAATCCTCAAACAGCCCAAGTTTAAATCCTGGCCGTGTCCCTTGCGATACGTGCATGACTGGCCTAACCGTCCTGTCTCTCAAGGCCATACTCTCTCCGTCTGACAGATGGGGTGACAGGGCCTCCCTCATAGCTGATTATGAGGATTAAATGAGTTAATTTGTGCTGGGAACTCCATCTAGTAGGCAATTCATGACTACAAATCTATGCATCTTGAGTGACACTGCAGGCAGACATTTGGTGTCACTTATATTTTTTTCTAAAAAGTCTTTGCAATAAACTTTCAAATGAAGAAAAAATTTTCAGTATATTACTGAAAATTAAATACCATTAGGAGTCAGAAATAAGTCTAAGAGAAATCACAAGGTTTGAATGGTCCAAGAGAGATAACACAAGCTGAAAAACTATGAACCCATCACATATTTTACTTAAATAACATTAAAAATAACAAATCCATAATCACACTGAACTCAAATGTGCTGCTGCCCCCTAAAGTTAACTCTATCTCATTACACCCTTTTAAAAACCCATTTTCTTCTTACGCGAAAGGCAAGGTTACAGAGATCTTTCATTTGCTGGTTCACTGCCCAAATGGCCTCAACAGCCGGAGCTGAGCTGATGGGAAGCCAGGAGCCAGGAGTAGGGCCATTCTCAGCCTTCCATATCATGAGCAGGAAGCTGGGTGGGAAGTAGAGCAGCCAGGGGCTTACCCCAATACTCCTTGGTCTGGTGCCGGGTCCCTATTAAGTTCATCTTGTCTATATCAATCTTTCGTAGCTCATACCTGGTTTCATGCACCTTACCTCTCAGCTAAGGACAACCTGATCACCCTGGCTTTAGTTACCTTGGAACAAGGACACAGACACAACGGTGAGCATTTTGGTCAGCCAGTCCTCCATGCCTTCCCACGCTCCCACCAATCACCATCTTGGCTGCAGTTAGGCCTCCCCAGGGCACAGCACGAGCTGTACATCAGAGGAAGAACAGCTCCGATCATCATTACAGCCACTCTTGGGCGGACGCAGGGGTCCATGTCACTTAAACCAGAAGCACTTATAGCTGATGGGTCCAAAACCTCCCCCAGGTTATCCTAACAAAATTGGTTTTTTTTTTTGCGGGGACCAAGTTTAGTCCTGTCTGCTGCTGCCTGCTCTGCCCAGCACCCCCACGAACCAGCTGCTTTATGTCCCATCCAGCTCCCTGCTGCCATGCTGGGAAAGCACTGGAAGACGCCCCAAGTACATGAACCCCAGCATGCACACAGGAGAAACTGAAGAAATCCTGGGGCCTTGGCAGGCACAGGACCAGCAACTGAAGCTATCTGTGGAATGAACCAGCTGATGGAAGACCTCTCCATTAAAAGGAAGTTTTTTTTTCTGTCGCTTAAAACTTGATCCTGTGAATTACTTAGCTTTCATCAAATGGTCCTCTAAGATCTCACAACAGGATCCGAGCAGTTGGAAACCAAATTGTAAATAGCAGAAGCAAACTCAAACAACAGTAAGAGCAATCAAGTCCGAAACACATTCTCGGCGGCATCAGCGAGTTACATAACTGCACGCCAGGGGCTGAATCCTCGCCTTGCATCTGCCCAGATACCGTATACATAGGTGCCAGCTGGTCACTGCCTGTGGCCTGGGAAAGCAGTGGAGGACGGCCCAAAAAGCCTTGGGACCCTGCACCCGGGTGGGAGACCTGGAAGAAGCTCCTGGCTCCTGGCTTTGGATCAGCTCAGCTCTGGCTGTTGTGAGGCGTGAACTAGCAGTGAACCGGCAGGCAAAAGATCTTTCTGTATCTCCTCTCTGCAAAGTCGGCTTTGCCAGTAAAAATAAATATAAATATAAATAAATAAAAAAGAAGAATCAGAAAGCTGTCACTGGGGATGAGTACTAAGACAGCTGGCCTGAAAGCCACAGAAATCCTTCCGGAGTCCGCCCCTGCTGAGGACACAGGAGGAAAGCCACCTAACAAACACGTGCGAACCCCACGGCGCATCACTGAAGACCGACAGAACACGTCCCCAGCCCCTGGCTCCTCTCAAAGAACCGCCAAGGTTCGCTGCCGTCCAGGGGCCCCAGCATCGGGAAAGACTATTCCCCATGTCCAACAGATTTTCAACTCGGAAGGAGAAGCAGGTGCAAAATCACGGCGTGGGAAAAAAAAAAAAACACGCGCCTACCGACGCCTTGTAACCTGGGGATTCGACACTCCTTCAAAACCAAACGAGGAAGCCCACCCTCTTCCAGGACGCGGCTGACACTCCCACCACCAAGCATCCCAAATTACTTTTCTTCTTGGCGTCACCCGGAGGCTCCTCTGTCCCCGGGGAGACGGCGGCGGAGGAAGGGGGCTCCGGCGTGGCCGTCTCAGGGGAGACCTCGGCGGGTCCTTCGCCGGCCGCAGCGTTCGGCGCGGGCAGCGGCAGCACGGCTTCCTGCTCCTCCGCCATGGCGCCCGGAAGTTAGCACACCGGAAGTGGCGGCAGAGGAGGTGCAGTGGGCGGTCTGGGTGTCGCGAGCGTCACCAAGAGGGCTCCGCCGCAGGGGAATCCGACCCATCGTTGGACGCTGGAACTGCCCGCAAATCCCCCTAAATCGAACTGTAGCTGACTCCGACCGTTAGTTCATGGGCGACTGCTTCTTCCGGAGCCAAAAACGTCTGAGCAGGGACCGTGGGTAAAGCCCTCGTGCGTCACCCAGAGCGCAGATACCCCTCAGACCTGTGGGCCCGGCCGGTGTGCGTTTCCGCTTCCTTCGGGGCCCGCCCCGCCCAGGCCCCGCCCCGCGGCTCGGGCGTGCACGTGCGCGTGCGCCTGCGCGGGGAAGGTTCTCCGGCGCGACCCTGAGGCGCGGCTCGCGCGTGCTGTTGCCGGCCCCGCCTCGTCCGGGCCCCGCCCCGCCCAGGCCCCGCCCCGCCGCCGGGGAGCGCGCGTGCGCGTGCGGCAGGGGGCGGGTGGGGAAGGTTCTCCGGCGCGATCCTGAGGCGCGGCTCGCGCGCCCGCCCCCGCCCCGGCCTCCAGCGCCCACCGGGTCGGCCCGGCCCCGGCCCGGCCCAGCCATGATCAAGGCGATCCTCATCTTCAACAACCACGGCAAGCCGCGCCTCTCCAAGTTCTACCAGCCCTACGTGAGTGCCCAGCGGCCGCGGGCCGGGCGGCGGGGGGCAGTCGTTGGCGGCGGGCATCGCCCTCGGGGCGGGCGACCCCCGGCCGGCGCGCCGCGGGCCTCGGGCTCCGGGGTCGGGGTGGGCCGGCCGCCGACGTGGCGCTGCCCGCGGGCAGGGCGGCTCCCCGGCCCGCGCCCCGCGGCAGGTGCGCCCGCTGCCCCCCGCGCCAGGGCCCCCGGGCCGCCCGGTCGTGCCCCGGCTGGCCGGCTCGGGCTCCGCGCGGCCTCCCGGGCGTGGGCAAGGGTCTCGGCCCGGAGGAGGGAGGCGAGGACCCGGGCAGGCGCTCCCCGCGGGCTCCGGCTCATTTCCTCTCGGCGTAACGGGCGACGTGTGCCCGGCCCATTGGAGCTCGGCGCGTCCCGGCTGCAGCGTCTTAGTGCGGAAGGGAATCTGCCCTCATGTCTGCTTTTCCTGGGCGGTGGGCATGCTGCTCGTAGAGCTCGTCTCGCAGTGCGGACTCCTTGCTGATGAACGCCGGAGGCCTCCGTGGTGATGTGCTGGGTCCCGCGGTGGAACTGACAGCTACACCTATTGTGTTGAATTGGGGGCGACGTTGCTTGTAGCCAGAAACACCCCCTGCTGTTGAGGGTCGAAATTGTGCCAAGGCTAACACTTTCGGGCAGGGAAAGTTCCAGATGGAAACAGTTCCTGCCACTGAACGTTCAATGTGGAAATGTTAGTTTGCTCACAAGGCTGACACAGCCTGTGGAGGTGTGAGGTGAAGTGAGAAGCCGTGAGCGGCTGCTGCATTTGCTCCAGCTGTTTGGTTTTTGCTACCAACGAAGCGGACTTTTCATCACTCCTTAGCGGTTAGAGTTGAGTCTAACCTCTGTTGAGGAATTTCACCGTCATTCTTTTGTTCAAGATAAAATTCTAGTTCCTCCTCCGGGGAGGGGGAGGGGAAGAAGCCATTAAGTTTGAATTATTACTTGTTTACTTAAAATATAGGTAATGCCTGTGTTGATTTAAGGAAATCTTTCCCCTAACCGTTCTGTTCTTCTGCCAGATAAGCAGTCTGTAGTTGTAGTTACTGTAACCACTCCAGCAGGGCACACCGCCTGCTCTCACAAGAAGGGATGCAGCCGGGGAGGGTGACTTCGTCCTGGCCCACATTGTCGCTGTGAAGTTCGTGTGGGAAGAGGCAGACCTGGCAGCCGCTGCAGCCTGGCTGGCATTTTGGATGGCTCCTGGGAAGGGAGCAGCAAATCAGAAAGTATTGCAAGCAGTCTGTCGGGTCGTTACTGGCCGCGTGCAAGTGGGATTCTGTCTGCAGATGAAGGTCTCTGATTCATTCATTTTGTGAGTTTGTAAGCAGATGCCAGGCACTGTTTTAAGTGTTGGAGATGGGACAAACATCGGGCCTGGTGCTTAAAACACCTGCACCTTACATCCCTGGCCTGGCTCTCAGTCGCCCCGGTGCTGACTCCAGCTCCCTGCGGCTGCAAGCCCTCAGAATCCTTAGAGGTAGCTCAGGTACTGGGGTTCACACCTGACTCCTGGCTTTGCCGCAAGTTGGTTAGGGCCATCGTGGGCGTTTGGGGAGGAAAGCAGCACGTGTGAGTGTGCACACACACTTATTCTCTGTCAGCTGTAAAATCTAACCGTGGGGCAGGGACAGAGCTAATGAGAGGCCATCTGTTGAGCTACCAGGCAGCAATAAACAGTAAAGCTGGAATGTTGCTGGGGTGTGTGCGATGAACGTTTTGACATAGGGTAGGCAGGTGAAGTCCGCTGAGAACTGACTTGGTGGTGGTGACACAGCCTTGCAGTATGATGGGGCAGAGCATCCCAGCCGAGGGAAGCACCTGCAGTCTGAGTCCGGGCAGTGAGGGGGAAGGATGGCTGCCAAATCAGGGCACGCTCTGTGCCGAATGCCCACGGTGTCCTTCCCAGGGGCCACATGGCCACATCCCCCCTTCCTTGTTCTAGATCCCGCTCAAACTTCACCTCAGCAGTCCCTGAAATATTTTAATTTTTATTTATTTGAAAGACAGAGAATAATCATATTCCATGCATTCATTCGTTTCCCAGGTGTCCGTAAAAGCCTGGGCTGGCCGGCTGATCATCCAGGCTGTCCCTTGGCCGTCGGGGACTCAGGTGTTTGATCTGTCACTTGCAGTGTCCCAGGATGCACATTAGGAATGAAGCTCACACTCTGACACTGCTGTGGGCATCCCGGGTGACGGCTGATCCACTGAACCACAGCACCTGCCTGCCTCACGCCCTCAAGTATTTGACTCTTAGATATTTTTTTAACCTTTATTATGGTACAGTATGCTGCTTTAGTTTACGTGCTGGGGCACCTGCTCCATAGAATTCCTTAAGGAAGGTGTTAGATTTTCAGTCTATTTTGCCGTACTCGCTGCAGTCTCTGAGTCATGAACATTCAAAACTCTTAAATTCAATCATTTACAATCCCTAGCTTGGCCTAAAATTGGTTTTATAAATTTGGTTGCAGATCTCAAACTTTAGATCTTTGTTAGCAGGAATTTTAAGAATCTTTGCCTATAACACAAAAGTCGTGGTGAAATACATGCTCTTCAAATGATTTTGTAGTTCAGTTTTTTCCCCAAATTTATTTAGAAAAAAAGAAATAGCTCTGCTTTTGCCGATTCACTCCTCAGATGCAGGTGAAGCCGAAAGCCAGGGATGTGGATCTAAGTCTCCCTTGAGGGTGGCGGGCATCTACTTCCGGTTGCTTCCTCAGCCAGAAGCAGGAACGGGAGCAGAACAGGCATGGAACCTAGCACTCTGTTACAGTACACAGGCTCCCTAACCCTTGTCTCAACCTCCAGGACAAAACCTCCTCCTGCCTTACTTACCTTGAAAGAGATCTTGAGAGGCAGATATCCAAGCCTGATGGTTGTTTAATTCATTAGGCGGTATGTGGAGTGCAGTGGGGCAACAGTTGTGTACGCTGACGGGATGCTGAGCTTTCAGTCCAGTAATAGTTGTTTAATACTGAAAGCTTTAAAGATTGTTTAGTCTTTTGTCAACGAATCTTCCTTATTAATTAGATGTTTTGGTCTCTATTTCCACTTGTGATGTATCAACACCTTATATAGGTTTGTCTCTACCCTTGAATAGTATTTCCAATTTTCCAGTTTCCAAATTTCCAATGCTGAATTCAGATGAGGACCATTGTCCTCTAATAGAATGACCACTCAGGTAACATCCCACCCCAACCAGCTCTCCCCATCTCCAGTGTCTCTGGGGCAGTGTTAATGAACTAGCCCCGTTCCTCCGTTAATGTGGTTTGACAACCAGGAGCGTCGGAGCCCCCTCCACAGACACATCTCCTACCTCTCCATCCCCAACCCCTTACCTTGGTAAGGATTAAAATAAACAAATGTTTAAAAAGTATCAATTTCCATTTCCCCTACGAAAGTTTAGGTTTGGTGGTACTTGCAGCCTGCCGTCCTGTGTGAGGCATCTGAGGTTGCACCCATGCTTTGCTCAGCTGAGCCTTGCCTCTTTCTGCTGTAGTCAGACACTAAGGAATCCAGGCAGACTCAGTTGTATGTCCGTTTCTGCCTTCTTGCTCCTTGAACTGTATCGCTGCAGAAGTTCAAATGCCTTTCTTGATTTGTCTCTTTAAGTTGATGCTTAGCCACATCAGCCTGGCAGCGTTGACCTTTGGTCTTTTATCACTGTTTGCTTGGAGATACTTGAATATTACTGTAAATGGCAAGTGACGCATAGACCTTGTGTTGCATACACACTGTGTATTTTTATCTAGCTGTTGAACAGGGCCAAAAACAAGACACCCTTTGGTTATGGTTTCTGTTATTAGTGGACATGCTGTGCCTTGGTGATGCACTCTAATAAAGTAGGAAAGAGTTGCTTTTATGTGAATCCTCCACGGAGTACTTTGGGTGTAGGTGTGTGTGCCCATGTATCAGACATGGATGCATGAAGTGTAAACTGGAATATTCCAAACTGTAACATACAAAAGTTGCCTCGTTGGTTTTATAAACTGTATCAGTTTATTTGTTGGCCAAATGCAAGCCCTAGACAGATCTCTGAGGTTACTCCTTTTTTCTTTCTTTTTCAAATTTATTTGAAATACAGAGAGAATGTGAGAGATTTCTTCCGTCTACTGGTTGACTCCTCAAATTGTTGGAAGTGCCAGACTTGGGCCAGGTCAAAGCAGGAGCCACAATGTCTTCGGAGTCTCCCATAGGGTGTGGGACCCCAGCAGTTGGGCTGGCCTCAGCTGTGTTCTAGTTACATCAGCAGGGAGCTGCTTGGAAGAGGAGCAGCTGGGACAGGAACTGTGCCAAGATGCCAGCGCTGCAAGTGATGGTCTAACCTGTGCCGTGGTGCCAGCCCCACGTTATTTCCCTTTCTGAGTGCATTTTTTGACGTGAAAATATTAAGAGCATATGTAACATTATTCCCCCCTTAAAATGATTTTTTAAAGCTACGTTCATATTTATTGGTAATAATGTCCTATTTCTGTCACTATTAAGACAACCTGTTTCTGTGGTCAAAATATGATGATCTCGGGATCTGAGAATTAAGGTGCTAGCAAATACACCTAGTATTTTGGCTTTTGTTGTTGTTGTTAGTAAAATTACAAATGATTTGGTTTTCTTCAGTGTTTGTTGGAATGCTGCTTGTTACGTAAAATGAGTTCTTTGTAGCCTAACTCAACTGCGAAGAAAGCACAGTTGTGTGTAACAGGAAGTGCGGAGTGGAAGACAGGCTCCAGAGTTGCTTCATTCAGCAGTCCGGTGACTAGGGGAAGACCCAGCTTCGTCTGTCACTGTTTCATCCTTCACAAAATCACTACTGCCCAAAGGCTGGGTTCCCTTCAGTACAGCCCAGAAAGGGCTGGCGATGGGCTCCAGAACCCCAGAATGGGTTAGATCCACCCAGGGCACAAGTAGCTCATCGCAGTCAGAATCCAACCTTGGAGCCAGAGGGGAAAGAGCTGACACTCTGTTGGAAAGCTGGGA